TTATATTTTATAATTTAAAACTATTTAAATTGCAAAATATTTTTTATTTTAATATTTAGATTATAAAAAAAATAACATTCGAACAAAAAAAACACATTTCTTTTAAAGAAATTAGTTTTGTTTTTATTTTTTCGAAAAATTAGATTCCTATGCAAGGTACGTATTGCAGTGCGGCCAAACAAAAAATACAAGGTATTGCAGTGGATGTACGGGCGCACCTATTAATCCCAATGTATTTGGTTTTCTTGAAAAAGGTAATAATATTATGTTAGTACTAGATCATCCTTTAGTGGGATTGGTTGTTGAGTGTAAAAATGAAGAATTTTTTACTAACATTATTTTTAAAGTGTTGTATTCTCGAAACATAATATTTTCACTTGTTTTTCAAGGTAAAACCATTCTGTTGTGGTCAACTGGGCTTGTGGGCCAATTGGTTGGCCCCTAACTTTAGGGTTTGGGTGAGGCGGAGGTCAGGGCTTCGAGCTCTGCCATCGTCGTGAACTCCACCAACTTGCGACCTAATGGTCGCGCGCCTCAAATGAGGGGGTGGAACGTTCACTTTCCTGAAAAAATTTCAACTGCTAACAAATTAACTCTACTAACTTCCTAACCATCTACCTGGTAAAAAAAATAAAAAACACACCATTCTGTTGTGTTCATGAGTGTTGTAAGGGTTTATAAGGACAAGGCATATAAGAACAAGGCAGAGCTCAGTGCTCTGTCGCAGCTCGATTTTCTGTTATAAGTGCATGACAGTTACAATAAGAACACCCTTACTTAATCCTCCCTCCTCTGTCAAAACATACCACACACATTTAATGCGGTTGCTCTGTTAAGACACATTACATTCACCTAAGACATCTGCTCCGTCAGGTGCATCATGTTATGATTATCATGTGAAGTAAGTCACGTAGGTACAGGTAAACCACATGGTTATCTTGCCAATATATACAAAACCCATAAGAAAGGTACCTTAGATACATTATTAATATTCATAAAAAACAGAGAACACACTCTAGAACAATACTAACTTAAGCATCGGAGTGTCTTTCCGAAGATCAATCTCGGGGTTTTGCAAGTTTGTCTAGAGAGAAGATACACAGGAGGAAGATCTTGAAGGTTTTCTGTAACAACAAGTGTAAAATACTAATATACTGTATGCTCACCTTTTTATTCAATAACATGCATCCATAAGGACCTCATTTAAGGTTTAGAGGCTAAAAAGTAAGGATATGCTTCTTTTCATTTATTTTTAGTGCATTTAATTTAATTTTTTATTTTTTAAATATAAATTTTAGATAAAAATTAATATATTATCATTTAATTAAATAAAAGTACTTAACAAAAATTTCATTTAAGAAGAAAAAACTTTATAATTATTATTCATATAAATTATTAAATTTTTATTTAAATTTTATATCTAAAAAATTAAAAAAAAATCAAATTATATCTATTAAAAAAAAACATATAATGCCTCATTTGATTATAAGAGCTTGATGTTCTAACGTGAAGATTTTAAATTTAAATCTTAAGTCATATAGAGAATAATTAAAAAATATATAAAAATATATCTTATTTTATATAATTCCATATGCAAATATATATATATATATATATATTAAAAAGTCTCGGTGGGATAGAGTTCCATTGATTTCTTGGTAGAAAAGAATGAAATTATTGACTTAATGAAGAAAACAGTCAAGGAACCCCTTTGCATTAGTTCAAATTTGAAATGATAAGATGGGAAGCTCTACCTTTTGATGAGATTTTCTCAATTTTCTCCCATCTCATTACCTAGTTGAACTCTTTTGACTTTCACCATTCACACATAAAATTCAAACATTGTCTCCCACTAAATGCTGATACCATATGTTGCTTTAACCCGATCCTAACAACAAAAAAGTTGCTTTAGTGTTCATAAATAAATTATAGTTTAGAACAAAATATGGCCGTTACACAAAAAGTAATTGTAGAAGTCATAAATTGGTTCATAAATTGTAGGAGCTAGCAGCAAAAATACAAAAGCAATAGACTGTAATATGTTAATTAATTAGAGAAATGTTTTATTCAGTTTTCTAAGGTGGGTTATTAACACATTACTTTTTTAATTTAAGGGTGTATTAATTGTTTTTTTTTTTTTTACATTTAAATTTTTTATGAAAAAATTTACAAAAATTAACTTTATTTTTATCACTAATAATACATGTATCTTTTTAATTGGATATTTAATAAAATTAAAGTTATTTTTTAATATTTTAATACAAATTAATTTTTTAATACAAATTAATTATAAAAAGATATAATAAATATACATTTAACTTGTATTTTTAAAATTCTCATATATTTTTCTTCAAATCTTTATATTTATATTTTTAAATAAATTAAATAAATTAATAATCAATTAAAATAAAAAATATAACATAATAATTGAAAGTACAACAATAAAATAACCCAATTTTCTAATACAAATTAAACCATGCAATATAAATAACACCAACCAATTTCTTACACAACCCCATTGCAATATCTAATGACACCACTGTTACACAAAAAGTAATTGTAGAACTTAAAGTCTCATGTCTAATATATATATATTTATTTTGATTGAATAATAAAATGCAATCATTTCTAATTTTTTATCTCATTCTATCTGTATGTCATGCGATTCGAACTCATGATCCTTTACTTTTAATAAAAATAAATGATCACTGAATTAATTAAGTTGCTGGTCATGTTTAATATTTTAATTCATGCAATTTAGCCGGCATTAGCCTATTCTACACATTTTTTTATTTATGTTTTTGGTTGGAAAGAAAGTGAAAGCCAAATTGCATTTTTTTAAAGAAAAACAAGACTATATATAAGCGGAAGTCACGTGGTCAAATGAACGGTTCATTGGCGGCCGTCCATCACCTAACATCCAACACACGTGGCACAGTAATCGTGGTCAATGATTGTTGACCAAACACCTCAATTTTTGTTTTTTTTTTTTTTAAATTTTCTGGAACTTTCTCGCTGGGTTTCAGCAGAACCGTCCAATGGACATGATTGGTCCAATAGAAGAGTAGGAAAATTAAAAATATTTATGGATTTTTATAATTTTTATTTTAACAGTGCAGATTAAAAATTTTGAAAAAAATAAAAAATAATATTTAATTTATTAACTATCTAATTAAATTTATTTACTAATATTGACTCTAAAATTAATATTTATTTTTATATTTTTTTAATATAAATTTATTTAAAAAATACATTTAACTTATGATTTAATAACACATATTAAAAAAATTCAATATTTATTTATCAAAGCTCGTAATGGGCCCAGCTTGGGCCTTGTCCCACCTCAAAAAATAAATAAATTTTACTAATTTAAATGGGTCAATAGAAAGTTAACGTGTAATGTACTTTGTTATGGGAATCAAACAAAGTGCTTGTAGGCCCATCTGATTAGCTGCTTTGGGCTAAAATGGACATGATTTCTTCTTCTTTTTTCCAAGGCCCACCTGATCTGACATGCCATTTTGGGCTAAAGCGTAAACTGCAATAATTCAACTTTTGTTCACTTAGGCCCAAGTCAGTAATTCTTGCAGCTAATGGAAGATTCCATGTTCTATACTTGGAACTGTTGAAATTAAACAAGAGAAGTGCAAATGCAATACACTATAAAATGTCATATAAAATTATAAAATTATAATTATAATAAATTAATAAAATAAGTGAATATATTAATATTATATATAAATTTTTAAATAAAAAAATCACTAAAATAAGTACATATTATATGTGAATTTTTAAATAAAAAATTAATCATATAATAATATATTATAATTGTAAATTTATAATATCATATGGTACCATAATGATAGTATTTTCATACTTTAGAGTTTGTGGGGAGGAATGTAACATCTTTTTCTAAACATTTAGGGATTGTGGGGGAAGAATGTAACATCTTTTTCTAAATATTTTGAGATAAAGTTGAATCTATTCCATCACACGTACATATAGACAAGGTGAATATTCGGCCATTGGCCCCTACTTTTTCTCTGATGGAAGAGTGCAAAAACTTTGCCATGCCACTTATCCGAAAGTTAAAGCAAACATACATGATCAATTTTTTTATTTTTTATTTTCCTTTTCATCTTTTGCATCTTAATTTTGGATTTCTTTATATAATCACTCGGGAAAAAAAAGGAAAAAAAAATTTACAATTTTCACTAAATTAATATGATTTCTCAAGTACTTGGAGATAGTGCTAAATTAAATGAACATTTGTATATATATTAGGAATTTTGTTTGGCAGACTCAGTGTATGGATGTACCTGGTCGACAATGATTACTAATTGGATTTTCTTTACTGAAATGGCAACAGGGCTTTATTAAAGATCTCTAAAAGAAAGAAGCTTAAAAAAAATTATCTTTTGATAATCAATGCCTAACTTTGTCACAGAATAAATATGTTGATGATGAAATGAGCTGCATAAAAAGGGTGAATTCCCTTTATGCATAAGCATTATTATTATTTTTTTTTATACATTTGATGAGTGAATTATATAACCAAGGATGTGATCCTTTCTTTTTTCAATTTCAAATTTTGATATGAAACTTTAATTCGAATTTTTAAACTTTTTATCGATTGCAATATTTGAGACAACCTGAAAGTGCATGCATCATGCATTAATATTAATTTGTAGTAGAAAATATTGACAGAGAAAATAAAAAAGAAAAGAAAAACTCAAACGTGGGAAAGATTCATTTCCATTTTAATATGAGCATGAACCTCTCAAAATTAAAGAGACATCACTAACAAGGAATATAATTCCAACTATATTAATTTTATTCAAATTAATTATATCTATTCTTTTTACATTTTTCTATGAATTTTGTTATAGTCATTTCAAGATTTAAAGCTAAAACTTTTTATTCAAAATCTCAAACCATATTAATCAGCTGGAAACCATTGAGGCACTTATTAATTAACTCTCTTAATTATTTAAATATAGGCTATATAACAAATACAAGTATATATGTATATATAGTGGCTAAGAAAATATATACATAAATAGAAAGAGCATAAGATATGTTTATTAATATTAGATCTGTATTGATTATTGTTTGTACAAAAGCAGGCAGCCGAATGTATACTAAAAAGGAGGAAAAAAAAAAAAAATCAAACTTGGAGTTTAATTAAGCTTATTCAGAATTACTATAACGGCATACTGCTGGCTCTTGTAGTATATGGTTAATCAAAGCCATAAAGCGCCTGCATTTTTGAGCAGGTTCTTCAAGGTGCCATTGAGGTGGAGGGTCATGATGGTATTAGAAGAGCCGACGAATTTACCCCCGATGAACACTGCCGGGACGGCCGGGTTGCATCCTAGCCGCATAAGAGCCCACTCCATTTCCTTCCCTTTCGAGTCCTCGTCCAGCTCGCAGATCGCGGGACTGACGCCTTGCTCGTAGAACAGTCTCTTGATAGCGTGGCACATGCAACATGAACTCTTGCTGAAGATCACCACCGCCTTTTGTGATGCTAACTTTGCCACCCGATCCATGTCAACGAAATGCAGCCTCTTTTCTAGAGTTTGACTAAATCCTATAAATTATAAAACGAAAAATCTTGATGGGAAATGTTAGAAGTTAGGGCAAAAATGTGAGTTTTGGCATGTGTGTGTGTATGAAATAAGGCTTGGTTTTGGGATGTAAGGGAAGGTTCATGGGTTTTATATATATAGGGGTGGGACATTGGGAAGTGGGGGGAGAAGAAAATGATGGATGTTGTTTAATGCAAAGTAAGAGAAGGGGGAAAAAAGATGAAGAAAAAAAGGTGAAGGTTCGTTACTGATATTTGGATTGATGCCTTCTCTAAATAGCCTTGATTTTGATAAGGACTTGTGTGGTTTCTCTTCCAAGTATCAAGACATGCAGCTACTTGTCCTCAGAATCTTGTTGATGAGAGAATTGAGAACTATAAATGGGATAAGTGGAAGCATTTGCCGAAAGTGGGGATTAAGAAAAGAGGAAAATAGATGTAATGTTTGTGACTAAAGCTAACGAGTAATTTAATTGATAAAAGAATTTGTTGATTATGTAATTGTATTTTAATTTAAAAAGTCATGTTGCAAATAATTTCTTGAAATTTTATTTTTGTCTTAATATAAAAAACTAAATTTTTTTAGAGTATATAATTACCACCCAACTGCTAAAATAAATTGCAACAAAAAAAAAAAAAAAAACCTTCAGCTTATATAAATGAAAGTTTGTACGGATGAACAGAGGATTTTGGGTGGTGCGTGGTGGGGAAATGCCTATTTGATTTTGATGATTATGGGAAGGAGAATGTCAACTTATTTTGGATAGGATGTGATAAGTGGTTGAGAAATGAGATGCTGATGACATATGGAGATACAGTACGTGCTGGGTTTGCATATATGGCTGTCAGTTATGGTGACACAACTATATGTTAGGATATATATCATGAATTGACACAACTATATGTTAGGATATATATCATGAATTTACCAATTTTATCTTTAGAAGTATTAATTTTATTTCATTTAATTATTAAAAATAATTAAAAATTGCACTTTGCCCTTGTGGCACAATGACTAGTGCCATTGAAAAAGTACATATCCCCCTCCTCTAGGCGGTTTCAAACTCTTCCCATAACAAAAAGTTCAAAAAAAAAAAATTAATAGTAAAATAATATATTGATGTATTATTTAACAAATTAAAATCAGTTTATAGTGAATGCTTTTTAGACATTTGTTTATAAATATTAAAGCTTAATAAAATATTAATTAAATTATATGTTTCCAACATAATATTGAGTAGATATAATCATACCTCACTAGTATGAGCATTGGTTTCAGACATGCTATAATTAAATTTTGTCCATTTTAAACTTTTTTGTATATGAATATTAGCTTATGTTTTTAACATAATATAGATATTTGAAACTTTAGTTTGATTAATGTCATGGTATTACAAACTCCGCCTTGACTGGAGTAATAAACTTGACCGCTTGAAATGGTTTGCCTTCAAATGATGCCTTTTTTCCTTTCCCTCCAATAATTTGTGGCTTAAGTAATCTGGTTAATGCATTAAATTTTATAAATCAGTTGATTAGTACATCAAATACTTTAATTGGTATTAGAATTTAAATCACGGTAATATCATGTGAATATCTTTTTTTTTCCCCAACCTTAAATTATAACTATTTAAAAAAAAAATCTGGCTAGCATTGAAATTTCTCAAAATATTCTACAAAAGAACATTATACGAAGCCAATTTGCTTGTAAAGGAAAAAAAAAAAGAAAAGAAAAAAAAGGAAGTTGATTTCAGTTTGATTTCAGTTTCATGCCATAATTTATTCCTCCTGTTCTCATCCCAGAATGTCATGTAGGACATGGAAACAGTATATGTACCACTTGCGTTCTACATTAATTGACGTTTGACAAGAGAGAAAAGATTGTTTCAAAATTTTTTTCTTTTTTAACATCGAAAAAAATTAGTTATTTGGTATTGCTACTTATATTACTCTACAATATCCTCATATTCGGAAATGCATTTAGTCTCCCGCTAAATTTAATAAATAATTTATTTGTTACATGGTTTATTATAATTTAATTTAAAAATCATTTTTTTATATAATTTATAAGTTATAAATTTTGTCTCAATATGATTTATTTTATAAGCATTTCGTTAACTTACTAACGAAATTCTTTCTAGCTTTAATAAGCTGTCTTTTAAATTTTTAAAAAATATTAAATATAATATATATTTTTTGTTTTTATTGCAATATTTTGTTTTTAAAATTTAAATTTCATATCAAATGTAATAATTAATTAAGATAATAATTTTAATTTACATTGATTAAGATTTTAATTTTAATTTACCATAATCAATATTATTATTTAAATTTTATTATTTCTTAAAAAACTTAATTTCATTATTAAATTACATATTTTTTCACTACTTTGTACACAAAAATAAAAAGTTTTATTTTTATTTTTAATACTAATAATACATGCATGATTTTAATTTGGGGATTTATAAAATTGAAATGAATTTTTATTTTTTCAGGTAATTTTAATTATGTGCATGTGCTCATTTAATTAAATTAAAATTTGGAAGGTTTGTTTATTTAAAATATTAATATTTAAT